ACCTGATAAAATATGATAACTGATCTTAGTAACAGAACTGTGTTGTGATTTTCTCAAGAGTTTCAAGCTCTATTAACTCAAACAGTAATATCAACTTAAATATGCTTTGAATTTATTGCAGGTGGAAGAGTGAAACAGGCTCAGCCATTTGAAGGATTTGCTCCAATTGATCTTGGTGGAGAGTTTATCCATGGATCCAACACTGTGGTGAATAAGATTGCTCGTGACAATGACTGGGTTGTTCTGCCAGTAAGTAAGGTCATTTACTGTATAGCTGACAACGCCTTCGCGCGAGATGAAGCGAATCCTTTGTTCTGATTCGCTACCAGTGCGGGCAAGATGGGCCTATCTTTCCTGCTCTGATCTCGCGCAAGGAAATAGGTGCGTAGAGCAAACTTACAACCTTCATACCTTTTGGACAAAGTCGGCGACAAAGTCGCAAAAAGCGGCAGAAGACAGTCAAAAAAAAAAAAAACACCTTCTTGGGTTTATTGTGCTACAAACACAGTGGCTTTCTTTCTCGGCTCTCGAATTGAACAAGTCATTCTCGATTCTTATTAAAGCGAAAACTTTTTGCTACATAATAAATACTTCTTTGACCAAGCTTGTTCGGTCAAGATGGCTGAATATTAGCCTCTTGTTTGTTTGGTTTTTTTTTGCAATTTTATTGGCCCCGACTTCGTGTCGGTCCATAAAAACTAAAAAAAAAAAGAACTTGTGCAATATCCAGCTATCTTGACTTCACGCTTGGTCAGTAATGCACATGTACCCCTTCTCGTAATTCAGTTCAAAGGGAAGAGGCTGAATTTTTATTATCACTACAACAAATCTTTATCATTATTTTTCACTGCTAAAATTCAGCTTGGGAAACAGATTCAAAGTTGAGCCTCTCATTTGCATGAAGTAATGAAAGGAAGTTAAAACGATATTAACCTCAAGAACATACTGATGGGTAAATGGCTGGAGTCGTTCAGGGTGTTCAATAATACCTCAAGTTTTAAATTGTCTTTCGCTTCTTGTGACCTGCACCTCGTGCGTAGCTTGTCGACGCTTTGATGCAGCAAAATCTCTTCAAATTGGCTATTAGTTAGACCTTTCATGCTAGAACTATCCTTCCTGTCATTTGACAGGTTAAAGTTTTTCGTCTGCACCGTGGCTTTAGGCCTTCCATGTGAAGGAACGCGAGATGCCATTGACCAGCCTCAGTTGACTTTCTCAGTTTCAACTGAACAAAACATTTCTCAAGAAAATTGCAAGAAACCACTAACTAAAGACATCTACCCAGTATTAAACCACTGAAAATTTCAGAAGACTGCTACGACAATTTAAGACCTCAATATATTTAAATCGCTCGGATGCACTTGGATGATAGACCACTATGGAAATTTTAACAATTTAGATGGCTGCATAAATGGCGGACTATGCGCGCAATGTCTTGTAGTAGACTAGAATCCTATAAGTGGTATTCTCTCGTGAAGAGGTTTTTAAAGGGGAATGGGGTAAGTTGTGCACTACATGGCATGCGGATGATTTTTTAGCCGCCTTCTTTAATCTCCAAGCATTTTTACTGTGGAAAGGCTCAGAATGGTGAAATTTCTTTCGAGTTCCATGTACTAATAGGGGTTTTCTACTTATTGCATGAAGGCCTTACAGATCACTTTTACCCTTGTTATTTTTTTTTTTGTTTTAGGCTTCTCAGTGTAAAGCTGGGGAGGAAGGAGAAAAGTTATACTACAAAGGAAAACTCTACTCGCCTAACAGCAATCAACGGGAAATCAAACTTGCTAGAGAAGCGTGGGCCGAATTGATCAACAGCAAATACAGAAATCAAGAACAGGAGACGGAGCCTGATTCTGTGAAAGTGAGACTTGAAGAGAAAGGCCTGTCACGTGACGTGTTGGATGTAATTGATTGGTGGAAAATGAAGATATCTGCAGGATCCTTGGAACACTATGGAGTGCGGGAAGGGCGGAGGAGAATGGAGTCCAAATATGAGTGGGGAATTGAAGATTGTAGGTAAATAAAATAAATTAACGTTAGTGTCCCTGTTTGAATGCTTGCTATAGATGAATCTAGGGCAAGACTTGTCTCACAAAGAGTACTCAGCTGCTTAACGCATCGGTCAAACATCTGCCCTGCCAGATATATG